CCAGGATATTGAAAAACTCTCCTAAATCCTCCATAGAATACAAAAGATGATCCATAACCAAAAAACACAGGGTCTAGAACCATATAACTCAAATCCTATCGAGATCCTCTTCCACCCCTTTAAAAGCTCTCTTATTTTTTTCTTTCTACAACACCCAAAAGATTGTTTAGGACCACTAATACCCTTCTATCTACATATTCATCCCTTACAATACCAGCCATACCCCACCTAATTCCCGAAAGCCCATATGCCATGGTCTATAAATTATACACAAGAGAACACCATAGTAAAATGCGGCCAGCAAGTCTCCTTCACTCTCTTACATAGAAAGAAACAGTTCACCATAATCTTTTCTCTTCTCATCAACTTAATGGTAAGAATACATTCACAACATGCTTCCAAGCAAAGAAAGCAAGTCCGCAAAGAGCATTCACTTTCCAGATTTGCCGAAAAAAGGAAAATTATTCTCAGTGAGATCCTTCTTGGCCAAATAGTCATAGGAGGACCAACCCGTGAATGTTGCTACTAAGTTGAGGGTCCAAATCGGTTGGTCATAATTCTTATACAAAGATGCAGAAGACAGTGAGATCAACAGAGTTTCATCTTCATTTATTTCCTAATCATTGAGATGTTTCAATACCTCTATTTACCACTCTCTTCCTCCCCCAAAGTCTTTCGATGACTCATCAACTGAAATATCCTTACATCGTGCAATATCAAAGATCTGCAGAAACCTGCCTCTAACCGCTCCCTCTCCAAGCCAAGAGTCCATCCAAAAGCTAGTCCTCTCCACCCAATACGTTCTCGAAATTCATCCCTTCATATAAATTTTTTTTACACACTGCCATCCCATGCAGTCTTGTCAAAACCTTTGGAATATCATCCTCTATCCACCGTACCAAACTTTGCCTCTATAACCCTCGCCATAACATGTTGCTTTCTTTCATAAATTGCCAAATCCACTTGCCCTTAAGTGTCTGGTTCTTTTCAACTACAGATCTCATACTCAAACTGCCTCGATTCAATAATCTGTTTATCAATTCTCATGCCACCAAATGATATTTCCTTCTCTCCACAGAATCGGCTTATAGAAATCTACACTGAATTGCTTTCAATTCTTACCAACACTCAAGGGAATTATTAAAAGGGATATATAGTGAACGAGAAGGACGGACAGTATATTTTAAATGAGTTTAAGACACCCACCTTTGGACAGTAAAATTTCTCTTCCACCCGCCAGTCTCCTCTCAAATCTTGGCACAACAGGGTCCCACGTCTTCGCGACTTTGTAGTTTGCTTCCAAAGGCATGCCAAGTACTTAACCGATAATTCCACCACTTTATACTCCAAGACTTTTGCCAATCTAATAGTATTACTCCCATCTCCCTATCTCACCAATTCTTTGTTAGGTTGATGTTGAGGTCAAAAACCACTTGAAAGTATACCAGGATACACCTAAGATTAAGTAGTGTACCTTCTTTCAGCTCACAGAACACTAAGGTGTCATCTATAAAGAATAAGCGGCTTACTTCCTCATTAACTCACCTTCTCCCACCCTAAATCCTCTGAACAGACTCATCTCCCTAGCTTTCAACAACAATTTGTTAAAAGATTCCATAGATACACTAAATAGTAGGGGAGATAACACGTCTCCTTATTTAAGACCTCTAGGTGCTTTAAAGAAAGAAGATGGACCTCCATTCACCATGACCATGAAAGATGTTGTAATGATGCAGCAATCTGTTAGAAGCTCATTCTCGCTAGCATATAATCAATAAATTCCCAATTAACATCATTATAGACTTTCTCCATATCAAACTTGCATAGAGCCCCATCTCTATCCTAAAATATTGGATCATCCACAGCCCCATTAGCCACCAAAACCGCATTCATAATTTGTCATGCTTCTGCAAAAATATGTTGACATTTTCCTACCTCTTTACCCAACACATTTATCATTTTTCTAACTAACATATTCCATATGTGCTTGATAAACTTCCAACGAAGTTGATAGGTTAGAAGTCTTTAATGTTAACCACCTCCTCTGCCTAAGCAATTAATATCAAGAAAGAGAAGTTTAGGGATTTCACAAAAGTTCCCACATCATGCAGTTCTTTGAAAAGCTCTAAAATGTCCTCTTTCATTGCATGATAGAATTTCTGCAAAAAACTCATGTTAAAACCATTGAGTCCAAGAACTTCATCCTTAACATAATGCGAAAGTCCCTCATAGATTTCTCTTCAGTGAATTCACTTTCTAGCGAAGCACGACTCATCTCATCCAGAGAGCTAAAATTGAGACCATCCAGCTTAGGCCTCCAACTAAACTCCTTGCAGTACAAGCTACAGAAAAAATCTCTAACCCCTTGGCTCAACCTTTCGTTGCCCTTCACTGTCTTGTCATCAATCTCGAACTCCTCCAGATATTTGGTCCTCCTATGATGGTTAATCATACAATGGAAGAAATTTGGTATTTTTGTTCCTCTCCTTTAGCCACCTGACTCTCAATTTTTGTTTCTTAGATATCTCTTCCATTTATAATATTTTTGCCAACTTGAATTTCAAATATTCTCTTCGAGCAATAGACAAAACATCATCGCCCTCCGTGTCATCTATTGTCTCAATATCTTAAAACAAAGTGTGCATGCACATGCCTTCCTTCTGCTCCTCTTTGCACCATTTCTTGATTGCAGTCTTCAGATTCTTTAACTTTTGTGTTATTTTGAAGCTAGTCTTACCATTCACCACAAAATCTTTCCACCATTCATCAATCTTTTCACAAAAACTCTTAGCTTCTAACCACTTATCCTTGAATCAAAAGTACAAGAGTCCCACTTAATCCCATAAGATACAAGGCATATAGGAAAGTGATTAGATATGACCTTTTGCAATAAATTTTGGCAAATACTTTAAACTTGAAGTTGACAAGAAACCAAGACTAAGAACCAATCAATACAAGAGCATGCTGCATTGAGCCTCTGATTAGACCATGTCCACTTACCTCACATAAGAGGTAAACCCAATAAGTTAAGTCTATCAAGAGTCTCCTTAAATTCATCAATACAAGCCTTCGAAAAATGATCTTCAGATATTTCATGTCTGTTTAAAACCATATTGAAATCCCCTCCCATATCTCATGGAAAATCTAATTTATATTTACAATCTTCCAACTCCTTCCACAACAAGCCTCTCTCTCTCCCTTCTCCTCTATTATAGATACCAGTGAATATCCATTTCCATCCACTACTCCAATCTTCGAACAAACATGATATTAAGCACTCTCTCACCATGACCTCCACATATATGAGATAATCCTCCTATAATATTAGAATCCCTCCATATGCTCCTCTTATTGGTAATTCTATACAACCTATTTCTTTCATCTTTCATAAGCTCCGAACAATCTTGTCATGGATGCTTCCATTTTAGATTCATGCAAACATATTACATCTAGTTTTTATCTATTCATGCAACCTCTAATTATCTGTCTCTTCCTGTGGTCGTTTATACCCCTAAAATTTCAGGAAATGAGAAAACCAAACATAAATTAAGTGTCTGTTAGTATCTCCCCCCTATTCTTTCCTATTTTCCTTGAGTTGTCATATTTGATGCTAACTACAACCTTCTCAACTCCTTGGATCCCTCCACCCCCTATTTGTTTTTTCTTTTAATTATTTGTCTCTCTCTTTCCACTTTCTCCTTCCTTCAACTCTCTATCTCCTTGAACAGCTACGTAACCTGTTCCTTTAAACCCTCATAAATACCCCCAATATACAATTGATCCATTGAATATTTTGTATACCCATCTAGAATTTTCTTTTTCAATTAGGGCCCCCTTTTTCTCTCCACTCTCCTCCTCAATCTTAATCTCTCCTCTCTGGATCACCATCTTTTCTCCTTCGTTTGGACCACCTTCTGCAACTTCGTCCTCCACTAGAACCACTATAAGAGTCGAGCAGACTCCTCCTCCCTCTCGGCCCCGTTGCATCCTTCCTCAAAAACACCCACTTCTTTCACCTTCTCGATGCTCAGGATAGCCTCCACCCTGTCACCACTTGTCTCTCTTCTATGTTCTTCTATTAGCCCTAAGAATCTGAAACCATTGTCTTCTCCACCATCATGAGCCTGAAAATGCAGTCTTTTCTTCTTCTGGTTGCAGTTTTAGCTACTTTTTCTGGATCACGGGTCTCCATACCCATTTTGGTCCATGACCCGACTTCTTGCCTGTCTCCCTAGCTCAAGCTACACAGCCCATTTCCCTTTTTCAACCTATGAATACTGTTTCGTCTTTAGCCTGCCATAACTCAATAAGCTGGGGCCTTCTCATGAGGCCCAGTCTGGTTTGCAGTTTTATAAAAACAACTGCCATTTTTTGCATTTTGAAGATGGTCTCAACGACGCTCCCCCCCCCCCCCCCCGCCTCCGAATAACATGGTTTTCAATTTCAAATTTCATTCGACCCCCTTTTTGACGGGTCTCATCTTCCTTACCCGACTCACCGAATCCGAGTTCCTTCTCACAATTTTTACAAACTCATCTCTTTATTCGCTTCCAAGGTCACCCTCAGCTCGGTGCGGCAACTGGGATAGCATAGATAAATCGGAACACCTTCACCGCCTTCTTCCCTCTCTTCGCAGACTTCTGCACAAATGATTCAGCTTTGAACTTTCCTGGCACCTCACACTTCTTCCTGCTACTGTAGCCACAACAACCATCATCCTCCACCATCTACCTGCCCCTTTCCTTATGGTAAGAAGATACATCTCATAGTCTCCCCCTTTTTCTCTGTGAGGACTAGAAATCTCCCCCTTCTACTCGTACTCCAGGCCACCTGCAAATTATGTTTGTTCCTCTTCTTGTTCTGACCTTAAAACCTCTCTCCCCCAGTCCAATAAAATTTTTGTAATATCCCCAGCAACCAAGTCACTTCATCTTCCCATAAGGAAATAGACACTCTAACCTTAAGCCTTCTAATTTCCTCCCCTTGCATATAACATCAAAAATTTTATTTTTAACAGCCAGGAACTTCCGACCAATGGGGTCATTTCAATCATCTTTCAGTGCAGTGACGCTGATCGTGCACGTTTGCCCAGCCTACATCTAGACAAACGCCTCAATTGGTCGCCTCTCCCAGTCGCCTCTCACACCAATGCTATATAACTGAGCGAGAAATGGATGGTGGATGGTAGAATGAAGGCAAATAGTTGAAATTGCAAAGATTTGGCAATTAGTAGAATTTTACATTATTGAGATGCTTTCTATTATATCCTTTAGCAATGAGGGAGACAGTTGAAATTGCTCTCTTGGTCGCCTGAAAACACCTACTCTATTATATGCTTCCTCAAAGTCCAACTTAAAGACCAAAGCTTCATGTTTGCATCTCTTAATATGATCCCTCTCATCTACAAGAGTAGCATCAAGAATTTTTCTTCCTATCATAACAACATTTTTGAGTTGTTGAGATTTATCATCAAGAACTTGACCCAATCTTTGACAAAACCTTAGTGATTATCTTATACACACTAGTCAACTAACTAATGGGTTTACAATTAATTACCTTAATAAGGTCTCTCTTGTGCAAAGAGTGATAAAGATACGTTTGTTTCCCATTAAGATATAACTCTTGAAAAGCCTTATGGGGTTCCCTTAACAACATCACAGCAACTTCGGAAAAATACCATAGAGAAACTATTCAGGCGTAGAGCTTCATCATTAGCTAAACCCAAATAGCACTCCTGACTTCTTCCTCCCCAAACAAGCTCTCTAACAAAATACCTTCAAATTCAAAGCCTCTAGGGGACCACATTATAAACACTCTTAAAGAACGTTTCCACAATCAAAAACCAGTCTCTTACAGCTGACTTTTCCCCATCAATATTTTCTTTTGCAGCCAAGAACATCTAACTCAAATAGCATAACTCTCTCATTTTATAGTTGAGAATTTGAACTTCAAACCCTATCATCCACCCGTCTCAAAACATATATATTTTTTACTTTTGCCAGTAGCGGAATTTTAAGTCCTTATGCATGATTATGGCAGACAATTAGAAAGTACACGTATACCATTTTCTTTTAATTTATTAACTGCATAAAGCAAATCCTAGAGGCTGTTATGCAAAATCTGCTAATCAACAAAGCAATTAAACGAGAGGAAAAAAAAATGGAAAAAAAAATCAAGAGGAGAAGAGGAGTGTGACATGAACTTACTTTTTTCTTCAGGCAGCACTGCAGACCATAAGCATAAAACAAAAGAGAAAAGAAATTAGGATAGGAAAAAAAAACAAGGTAAGCAAAAGGAACCCCAACTACATACTGGATGTTATAAGGAATGAATATGTCATGAGACTTTCCTATTTAAATTTTGATGCTCACCTATGGTATATCAACAGATAATAACAAGATTTACTAATTTATGAGGAGAAATTTTTATTAAAAAATAAGAAAATCATATTAAGAAATGAAGATAACACAAATAGAAGAGGATAAGATATCCTCAAACAAAAAGAAACAAATCAGACGTGAGTGCAATTGAATATGGAGGTTCTAATTGATAGAAAAAGAACAGTGAGACATCTTCTTTTTAATTAAAACTGTGATACATATCATGATTAGCAATTTTTATTAACAGGACAATTAAGACCACCAATTTCAAATATCCAATTGTACAAAATCACAACATGATAACCAAGCAAGGAAATCTATATCAAAATCAAATTAGTGACAAAAATCAAAGCAGCAGCAAGGTTGCGGTAGCATGGATTAGTATACCATAATAGCTGCATTTTCTTCCATCAATTTTTGGGGAGAAAAAGAACCCTTGGTGCATCACTAATATAATACTGCTTTTTTATCGCAAAAAAAGGAAAAAAGATTATAATAAAATTTTCATTGGATAACAAATAGCAAGCAGAAACACAACTTCCTGTCTCTTTATGAGGAACCTTTTAGAGATACCTATCTCTTTGTCAGGAACTTTGTATCGATAAGAACCACGGTAATCTAAAATAATTTACCTTGTACTAGAACCCGAGTTGTCAATATACAATGACATAATTCCAAGATGCTTTTTGGAAAATGGTTTTGGAGGTTCATGATAGAGGAGGATAGCTTTACTGCAGGATGAGTTTATTCTTGGAAAAGCTATTCGTGCTTGCCCAGATGAGTTTTCAGTTGCATCCAAACGAGAGTTATGTGTGAGAGGAAGATGAAATTTTGAAGGAATCAATGGTGTGCTAGGGGATGCTCTAGACCACATTTTCTGGTAGTGTTCTCTTTATGCAAGAGAAAGGATGCGTTGATGAGTTGATATTTGTTTTTTCTTGTCTAAGCAAGTGGTGTGGGAGGTCGACCTTGTTAGAAGTCTTAATATCTTAAAGATTGATCAATATGTTGGGCTCCTCAATCACTTTTTCCTCCCCAATGTTTCTCCCAATGTGCCCACTCTAGTTTGAAAAGTTGGGACCAATTATTTATTTTCTACAAAGTCTTTTTACACTCACCTTGCCCATCCCTCCTTCGTTCAAAGTGCTTTCCCTTGGAAGCTCATGTGGAAGTTAAATGTGACCCAAAGAATAAATTTTTTGCTTGGAGGTTGTGAAAAGGATAATCCTCACTAATGATAATTCGAGGAAGATGTTGGCTAACGGATGCTACCTTTGCAAAAGGGCGATTAAGTTTCCAGACCATCTCCTATTCTAGCGCCCTTTGATTTTGCGACTATGGTCTATAGCACTCGAGTTCCTTAGTTGAGTCGAGTGATGGTTGGAAGGGTAATTGGTGATGTTTGGGATTAAGAAATATGAGATAATAGGAGAACAAATAAGCTT